GACGCAGCAAGTCATAGGCACATCTGCAAATGTAGTGAGGTTAACCTCTTCCTGTCCTAGATTTTAAGATCCGGGGTAAATACCATATGGAATGATAAAGCATTATCAAACTACACTATTTTGCATGATCAAGGCCAGTGTCCCAGCTAAAATAATTTGCAACTATATATATATACATTATGCTTATATATGATTTTATAATGCATAACATTTAGAATCCTGGTTGCATGGATGTGTACGTGTCTTGATTTTACTTCATCCGAGAACGAAATGGAATTTGATGGGTGTTTGCTTGAAACACCTCATTCAGAGATAGTACAAAGTTAATCGTTATACTAATTTATATTTCCTATTCAATATAAAACATTGGACACATACTCCATGACTTGACACCCACAGCAGAGTTAGCCATTAAAATGCTCCATCTAGAAATAGGAGACTCAAGGAACATGGCTGAACTCTGCAATATTGCTATTGGGGTTTTCCTAGTTTTTATCTGGACATCCATATTAACTCATGCAGTTATAATGAGTTATACACACACTTTTCCTACCTTTTCCCTTCCATCCCAACCAGGCTCAGAGTGTGCATATGCACTCAGAGATAGGCAAACAATTCGTGAGTCTATGAGAACAATTTGATTGGACCGCGATTTGGCACTGCTGACATCAGATGGGCGTGAAAGGCAGTACTGGGATGTTTGACTGGCAGTGAATTAAAGGTGAGTTTAACCCTTTATTTTGTATCTGGTACATAATGCGTAGTGTGGCATTATAGACTAAACACACTATCAGAGAAAAGATTAGAGTAACCATTTAACATTCCTTCTCTGTAAGAAAAGGAACCTAATTAAGGGATTTTGTTCAATAAATTTTTAATTGTGACAAATGCAAAATGTAGGCTAAAAAACAGACAGGCTAAATTGTGCCATTCAACTTTCAATTCAGTATAATTCATCATGTTCCAATTCTTTTTGGTAAACAAAAATTCACAATTTGGTGAATAACTTTGGAAATAGGTATGTGATGCTATATGTTGAGATAGGACGCTGTAGAGCATGGATTATAAAGCAGTTATTAGATTTTCCTTTTGTTGATTCTGGCCTCACCTTTGAGCCTCACATCCAGTCTGTTACCAAATCCTGTCAATTCTACCTTAAAATCATTGCCAGCATCCGCCCCTTTCTTACACAAGATGCTACCAAGGAGCTTGTCCATGGTCTAGTAATCTCTTGCATGGATTATTGTAACTCTCTCATAATTGGTCTTCCCAGTGGCCATACAGTAGCTACAGTCTGTAATGAAAGCTGCCTCCAGACTGATTTTCCTCTCCAGTCACTCCTCTCATACCTTACATTGGCTTCCTGTATCCTATAGGAGTCAATTCAAACTACTAATCCATCACTATATAGCATTGAACAATTCTAGCCCCTCTTATATCTCTTCACAGATCCATAGGTAGCCCCCTTCTTGGTCTCTCCGCTCTGTCCATGACCTTCTCCTGTCCGCTGCTACCACTTGGAGGGCCAATTCAGAACTTCTCTCGGGTGGCTCCCTTCCTTTGGAATTACCTGCCTACCACCATCAGACTATCCCATAGTCTTCAATTGTTTACAAAGTGCCCTTTAGAACCCATCTCTTTAGGAAAGCTTATGGCCTCCCAGAGTAACCTCAACCTCACATACCTGTCCCTTGCTCTCTCTAACAGTGCATCACTCTACTCTCTCCTCCAGCTCTGCTTCACTCCTACCTTGCTTGATTGCTATCTCCTGTCCTATTGTGTTTTATACCCCACCTCCACTAGACTGTAATTCCGTTTCAGCATGGTCCTCTTCAACCTATTGTTCCTATAACAGTTTGTAATTGTATAATTTATTGTTAAATCTATCCCTCTTGTAATATTGTTAAGGGCTATGGAATTTGTTGGCTCCATATAAATGCCAATAATAATAATAATAATACGATAACAGGAGAGTATGGCTACCAATAATGCATTCTCCCTATTACGGTTGTAATGATTACTAATTTCCCTTGTGCTTGATTAATGTATGACCATGCTATAAGATATGTTTTTAATATATAAATCACTAGAATTATATGATCATCTGATCCAGTTTCCTTTATATGGATTTTCTAATTCTCCTCAGCTGTCAGCCCGTGGTTTAGAGAACTACAGTGCTGACCTCTAGTGATGAAAATGTACAAGTGCAAAGAATTTTATAAATGGAAAGTTGTGTCTGTTGAAGTTATTCCTGAGGTCTGAATGCTCCCCATATTGTAACATTGGGGTAAAATGTAAAAACCTGAAATTGCATGTTTCTTATGTCTCAATATAATAATGCAAGTGATATAGCATGTTGCTAATTAAACATTAGTGATATGTGAATAATTTTCTAACAACCTAGTTTTCTACACCACCCTTACCTTTTGTGTCACTATAACCCACTCCATCTAGCATGTAAGCTCATTGAGCAGGGCTCTCAATACCTCTGTCCCGGTGTGTTTAACTTGTCTGGTTACAAATACACCCATTGTACACCCAAAATATATACATAAGCATAAACCCACTCATGTACATTTTATAGGACTAAATACTCTGAATAAAATTACAAACGCAACACTGCCCCCATCTTTCATGAGCTGAATTAAAAGATCTAAGACTTTTACTATGTACACAAAAGGCCTATTTCTCTCGAATATTGTTCACAAATCTGTCTAAATCTGTGTTAGTAAGCACTTCTCCTTTGCCAAGATAATCCATCCACCTCACAGGTGTGACATATCAAGATGCTGATTAGACAGCATGATTATTGCACAGGTGTGCCTTAGGCTGGCCACAATAAAAGGCCACTCTAAAATGTGCAGTTTTATCACACAGCACAATGCCACAGATCTCGCAAGTTTTGAGGGAGCGTGCAATTGGCATGCTGACTGCAGGAATGTCCACCAGAGCTTTTGCCCATGAATTGAATGTTCAATTCTCTACCACAAGCCGTCTCCAAAGGCATTTCAGAGAATTTGGCAGTACATTAAACCAGCCTCACAACCACAGACCATGTGTAACCACACCAGTCCAGGACCTCCACATCCAGCATCTTCACCTCCAAGATCGTCTGAGACCAGCCACCCAGACAGCTGCTGCAACAATCGGTTTGCATAACCAAAGAATTTCTGCACATCTGGGTCTCGATCTGACTGCAGTTCGTCGTTGTAACTGACTTGAGTGGACAAATGCTCACATTTGATGGTGTCTTGCACTTTGGAGAGGTGTTCTCTTCACGGATGAACCCCCGGTATTCACAGTACAGGGCACATGGCAGACAGCGTGTATGGTGTCATGTGGCTGAGCGGTTTGCTGATGTCAACATTGTGGATCGATTGGCCCATGGTGGAGGTTGGGTTATGGTATGGGTAGGTGTATTTTATGGACAATGAACACAGGTGCATTTTATTTTTGGCATTTTGAATGCACAGAGATACCGTGGCGAGGCTAATTGTTGTGCGATTCATCATCTCATGTTGCTGCATGATAATGCATGGCCCCATGTTGCAAGGATCTGTACACAATTCCTGGAAGCTGAAAACATTCCAGTTCTTGCATGGCCAGCATACTCACCGGACATGTCACCCATTGAGCATGTTTGGAATGCTCTGGATCGGCGTACACAGCAGCGTGTTCCAGGTCCTGCCAATATTCAGCAACTTCGCACAGCCATTGAAGAGGAGTGGGCCAACATTCCACAGGCCACAATCAACAACCAGATCAACTCTATGTAAAGGAGATATGTTGCACTGCATGAGACAAATGGTGGTCACACCAGATACTGACTGGTTTTTGGACCCCCCCCCCAGGCCCCGCCAGACCTGCTTGGATCCACCCAATACAGTAAAACTGCACATTTTAGAGTGGCCTTTTATTGTGGCCAGCCTAAGGCACACCTGTGCAATAATCATGCTCTCTAATCAGCATCTTGATATGACACACCTGTGAGGTGGATTATCTTGGCAAAGGAGAAGTGCTCACTAACACAGATTTAGACAGATTTGTGAACAATATTTGAGAGAAATAGACCTTTTGTGTACATAGCAAAAGTCTTAGATCTTTGAGTTCAACTCATGAAAAATGGGGGCAAAAACAAAAGTGTTGCGTTTATAATTTTGTTCAGTGTATATATATATAAACAAAAAATGAGTAACCTTGCACTCTGACTCACAGTCTTGTCACCCTGTGCTCGATAGCACTAAATTGTATATCAGGTAGTAAATTATCAGCACAGGCTGTCGTGAGGAAAGTTCCTATTTGGAACTGAAACGTTGGCTGTTTGTGACACTTTTTCAAGTAAAAACGTTTTTCTGAAATTCTTGATATGTATATGTATATATATATATATATATATATATATATATGTGTGTGTGTGTTAAAGGATATTTGTCTGTTTATGTGTGTATGTATTATTTGTGTATGTTTGTAACTAAATACAGAAGTTATGAGTGCCTAGGTAATTAGGACTGTGAGCTCCTAGAAATGTATGAGAATGTGTGTGTCCAGTTAGGTCTGTGTGCGTGAGTATGGCTTCTTATGTACATGAGTGTGTGATTAGATATGTTTGTGTGTATGAATTGGACTGCAGATGTTATACACGAAAGTCCAAGTAGCCCCATACCAAGTAGTGCATTCAGACTGCAAAACCTAGACATTGTTCCTGCTTTTCAGAAATGTTTGGACTAAACCTGAATTTGGTCCAGATTTGAGACAGACCGAATGCTGTGGCTTGAAATCTCTAAAATTTTTATCTAACTATTGCAATTAGGTGTCCATTCACTGTTTAATGAATAAACCCATGTAGTGCAAATATAGGATGTGTTGGAGTCCATGCTGATAGTGTTTCTTCTTTTTGAAACACGCTGAACTGTGTCTTCTAGTTTGTGAGCGATAAACACCCTGTAAACTGCTCTAGCTCATTGCGTGAGGTTATTGGAAAGGCTTCTGGCTGCCCTGAGTCACTGTGCATCACTAGAAGCACAAAAATAGATCCCTTCATCCTGATTCTTCACAGATTTGATTTCCAGTTGAGTCCTCTTTGCTGAATCAGTCCTGGTCATTATAAACCTGTCTTTGTAAATATCATTCTCGTACTCGGGTGTTTGGTCACGGAGATACCGGGCTATAAGCTCTAGTCCTTGACCATTCCTCTGTAGATACCAGTACATATATTCGTGGTCTGTTGTCTGAGTGCAGTTCATGTGTACCGTGGAACCTAATTCTCTCATGATTGTTCTGGGCCACTGATTAATGGTGGATGTCTGTGCCAGACCTGAAACGATACGAAAAGAAGATTATATGCAATATCACAGCATTTCTGACTGATTGGAAACATCTGGAAACATCTAAACAGTTTGTGTACGGACTTGTTAATCACATTTCCAGATAACAAACTCCTAACAAATGGTCGAAGATGATCTTCTGTCTTGACTTTTTTGGTCTCTGCAAATGTGGGATTCCTTTGATGATGCACCATAGCTCATTTATTAATAAATAATCACCCAAGTAAGTATAATAATTAAAGTTTTTTTTTTATTTAAATTTAAATATTCTCCAATTAGGGTAAATTATCTCCCAATACTCACTGACGGGAATTAGAAGGCAGAAGAGACATCTCTGTATGAGGGACATGGTGACACTGAGACCTCACTGACAATAACATTACAAACAAACTTACACAGGAAGTCACAGACACACCTGCAAGTGTAGTGAGGTTAACCTCTTCCGGGATTTCATTCGGTGATGGATGCATCAGGAAGAAATAGGAGATGGAATGATAAAGTCTTCAGACATCCAACTGCAACAAGGCCTCTTCACGTTGTTATATATAGACTACTTGTTTTCAAGTGATTTAGCTTAGTAAATTAACTCTTTGGGATTGTTTTCAACCTTGTTTGTAAATAGGTGCTGTAATTTGTCACTGTTAACAACGGTATTTGCACTCAGCATAAATTACATCTTGAAGATGTTTCCACTCATCAGTGGTGAGTTCATTTTAGTTCTGCCCATACTCAGTGAAGATGAGTATCTTTCAGAAATGTTTGTACATGGCATTTCTGTGTTTACTCTGGAGGTCTCTGACTGTAGCAGCTCAAAGTTTCCTTAAGAACTTTTTTTGCTAAGTCCATATCACAGAAGGTGTCCTTCACCCTCCCTGGATCTGAGGAATATATGCCATTTATCCGTTTTTATATTCACATATTGCATCCAAGGATGAGATTTAAACATAACACATTATTACTAGGTTTGGCATTGAGTTTTACTGATTTTTATATTGAAACCTATCCCAGTGCCATTTGGTATTTGTGATACATTTACGTTTCTTTTATTTATTTTTTTACAATTTGTGCGTATTGCTGTCCTAGTAGTGTATGTTGTATTGATAGTGTTTTCTGTGCTGGTAGTGTGTGACGTATTGTTAATGTGTCCTGCCTTGACAGTGTGTGTTGTATTGGTAGTATGTTATGTTGTGGTACTTTGTACTGTATTGGCAGTGTGTGTTGTACTGGTAATATGTCCTTCCCTAGTAGTGTATGTTGTGTTGGTAGTGTTTTGTTAGCTGTTAATGTGTGACATCTTGATAGTGCGTGTGGTTCTGGCAGAATGTTGGAAGTCTATTCTGTATTTATAATGTGTGCTTTCCTGGTAGTGTATGCTATGTTGATAGTGTGTATTGTGCTATGAGTGTGCTCTGTACTGACAGTGTACACTGTATAGGTAGTGTCCTCTGTGCTGGCAAAGTATACTGTATAGGTAGTGTATACTGTATACATAATGTGCATTGTGCTTGCAGTGTACAGTGTATAGGTAGTGTGCTCTGTGCTGGAAGTGCATGCTGTATGGGTTGTGTGCTCTGTGCTGGCAGTGTATGCTGTATATGCTGTGTGCTCTGTGATGGCAGTGTACACTATATTGGTAGTGTTGCTGTGCTGGTAGTGTATGCTGTATATGTAGTGTACTCTGTGCTGACAGTGTATGCTGTATAGGTAGTGTATGCTGTATAGGCAGTGTTCTTTGTGCTGGCAATGTATGCAGTATAGGTTGTGAATGCTGTATAGGTAGTGTGCTCTGTGCTGGCAATGTATGCTTTATAGGTAGTGTTTGCTGTATAGGTAGTGTGCTCTGTTCTGGCAGTGTATGCTGTATAGGTAGTGTCGCTGTGCTGGCAGTGTATGCTGTATACTTAGTGTGCTCTGTGCTGACAGCGTATGCTGTATAGGTAGTGTATGCTGTGTAGGCAGTGTTCTTTGTGCTGGCCGTGTATGCTTTATAGGTAGTTTATGCTGTATAGGCAATGTGCTCTGTACTGGCAGTGTATGCTGTATAGGTAGTGTCGCTGTGCTGGCAGCGTATGCTGTATATGTAGTGTGCTCTGTGCTGACAGTGTATTCTGTATAGTTATTGTATGCTGTATAGGCAGTGCTCTCTGTGCTGGCAATGTATGCTGTATAGGTTGTGAATGCTGTATAGGTAGTGTGCTCTGTGCTGGCTGTGTATGCTGTATAGGTAGTGTATGCTGTGTAGGTAGTTTGCTCTGTGCTAGTAGTAGGAAGTCAGGAGAGAGGTGCTGGGAGATGCTGGGGGGTTGTAGAGAGGTGCTGGGGTCTGCATTGAGGCTGCTGGGACCAGAGGGAGCACTGAACGACCCGTTCCAAATTCTCAGCAGCTTTCCCCGGCAGACAGACTCCTGCTCCCCCTCACACACACTCAGCACCCCCCCCCCACACACACACCACCTCTCTGACACACACAGCACCCCTCACACAGAGCACCATTCACACACACACACAGCACTCCTCACACACACAGCACCCCTGACACAAAGCACCCATGACACAAAGCACCCCTCACACACACTCCGCACCCCTCACACACACTCCGCACCCCTCACACACACCCAGTACCCCTCACACACTCAGCACCCCTGGCACAAAGCGACACACACATATACAGCACCCATCACATACTCAGCACCCCTCACATACACTCAGCACCCCTCACACACACAGCACCCTTCACACATACAGCACCCCTCACACACACACAGCACCCCTCACACACACACAGCACCCTTCACAAGCCATTACTGCACCTTTCTTTACACATTACTCGTATTTCATATTATTACCTATTGTTAGCATTCCCCACACAGCACCCTTCACACACTGCACCCCTCACACACACACACACACACACTGCATCCCTCTTACTCACACACTGCACCTCTCTCACACACACAGCACCCCTACACACAAACACATACACTGCACCCCTCATATCAGTCTGTATGTATATAGCAGTCTGTGTGTGTGTGTGTGTGTGTTCAGCAGTCTCTCTGTGTGTGTTCAGCAGTGTGTATGTATTCAGCAATCTGTATGTGTGTATTCAGCAGTCTGTATGTATTCACCAGTCTGTGTGCGTGTGTGTATTCAGCAGCCTGTGTGCATTCAGCAGTCTGTGTATGTATGCAGCATTCTGTGTGTATTCAGCAGTCTGTGTGTGTGTGTATTCAGCAGTCTCTATGTGTGTGTTTGTGTGTGTGCGCATTCAGTGTCGTGTGTATATGTACTCAGTAGTCTGTCTGTATGTATTCAGCAATCTGTGTGTGTGTGCGTATTCAGCAGCCTATGTGCATTCAGCAGTCTGTGTATGTATTCAGCATTCTGTGTGTATTCAGCAGTCTGTGTGTGTGTGTGTGTATTCAGCAGTCTCTATGTGTGTGTTTGTGTGTGTGCGCATCCAGGGTTCAACTTCCAGCGGGGAACCTCTCTTTCCCCAGAGAGCAGAAACAGGAACAAGCTCTTAGCAGAGCTTAGCGATCATACCCTGGGGAGTATAGTGATTATAGCAATCCCCAGAGTGTAGTTCTCCAATTCCCCAAACATGAGCCATGGCTTCAAGAAAGGTACAAGATGATCTGATTTTAATTACCTCACACTGGCTTTTATGCAAGTCCCCATGCAAGGGGACATCCCACAGGGTGGGACACAGTACAACCAATCATTTACAGGAAAACCGTAAAATGCACCCAGCCCCAACATACAATCCCTCCCCTCTGCCTGTGATATAATTACTGAACACAATGGGTTAATGTAATTTATCACAGGCAGGAAAAATACACTTTTTACACATATACTGTAACTTTAAAAATATGCATCATATTCACATAAAACATGCATATTCAGAATCAGCATACTTTATGTAACGGACCGTTTTGCACACAAGGGGTAAAAACCGTTTAGGCGATCGGCCCCCTTTCCAGAGATGCAGGCACAGCTACTGCAGAACACCAAAACTCACGAACTGGATACAAAATAGCACTCCAACTCCCAAACTGGAACCTCCCAAATAGCTGCTAGCAGACGAACAGGAAAAGCAGACGAACAGCTTACACTCCTGGCAATCAGTCTCTAACAGCATACAGTGAATCCCCCCAAGAACGAGACAAGGCTCCGTGTTGAGGGTCAAGCAGTGGTCTGAGGTGCTGGCACACCCAGCCTGGTTTTATTACAGTCTTGCAAATACAGGACCGCCCACAGGGAGGTATAAAACAACCAATCACATCACAGTTACATCCCACATATTCCCTCCCCTTATCCTGAGAGCAAACTCAATTACACATACAGTTAAAACATACTTTCTACCCAACTTTCATAACTCTAAAACCATACCTCACATTCACATAAAATTACATATTCACAATCAATCCATTCAGGGGAACAACATATTAAAAAATGGCATGAATCAGACCAGGGGTTCAAAAGTTAGTAAAAAGTCCTTTGTGACTAAATGAAGCATGGCTTTCTGGCCCAAACCAGTTTCAGAGTCTTCTATCCTGGAAAGTAATTCAATTATCACCCAGGACAGACACAAGACTCCATTAAGCACATGGTTGCAAAAAGACACAAAACACTTTAAAATACATAAAGTCACATTTATACATAAAACACAGACATTTCACATATCCCCAGACAGCTCAGGTCTGAGCGCACATTATTAAGTGAATGGCGCTCAGACCACACGAATACAGTTTAATAGCCATGGAGCCA